TATGTTTAATATTCGCATACCATCACCGACAATTAAATGATAAATATGACAAATACATCTAATGTTTTTGCAATAACTTGTCGTCGTCTCACTTTTGCAATAACTTGCAAAATATTAGAACGCAGTCTAATGTTTCTTATCAAAATTTCAATTTGCTCGAAAGTAATCTTTAGACCGTGGTCTAAAATATCCATAAGCTGCAAGAAAAATAAAAAGAAAGACATTTAATATACTAAAAAAAAAGGACAGCCCGGTGCACTAAACTCTCGTTATACGCGAGGTCCGGGAAAGGGCCGGATCACAAGGTTCTATTGTACGCAATCTTACCCTGCATTTCTGCAAGAGACTGTTTTCACGTTTTAAACTCTTGACCTCCTGGTCACATTACAACAACTTTACCAGTTACACCATTTAATTTACTAAACAGTTAGTCCCCAAAAAGGATAACTGACGAAAATTTCTGTACTCTCGATACACATACAATTTATTCATTCAAATAAAACATTTGCAATCAAAATAATACGATGGAGTAAAATTAAATCACTTATTAATGGAGTTTTAAATCAACTAGTACTGTAATGGTTCACATTAACTTATTTAATATTTGACCATCTTCCTTGGAGTCCTCTACATGTTGATGGGATTGACGAGTAAGGCTTCAATTACAGACTTCACATTATTCTTTGGATTACTATATCCATCTTCACTATTCTTGTAAACCACATCAATTAGACGTGTCAGATTTACGATTGGCTTTAAGATTTCAGCTGGCATTGAAGAATTAGTAGGCTTAATAATGCTCTATTTGCTCAAATCCTTCCATGCATTTTCAGCCATTTCAGAAAGTTGTGCACTTGCTTCTTCCACTGTTAAATTGTGCTCTTTCATATAGCATTCTATTCCCGTCACAAGTTGTCCTTTTTCTTTCTCAATCTATATATACGAAAGAAAAAAAAGCAGATGATGGATCATGCAAACATTAACGAATTCACATTTTATTTGAGATTGAGACGTAGTTTATATATCAATATATACCTGGTAAGTTGCAACGTCATCAATAACTCGACCAATTAATGCTGAAGCCACAAGAATCTTAGGTTTATTCATCATCCAATCGAATGCTGCTTTTGAAGATGATTTTATGCCCAATAATAAAGCAGGTGCAAGTAGGTAATAAGTTCCAGTTATGAGTGCATTGCTTAAGTATTCTTCAAATGGTGGACTTTTCCCTTTGATGAACCATTGTGCTTCAATGTAGTAACTCCTCACGATTTCCTTCATCTTTATATTTGAGAAATATAATAATATTAATTAAACTCATAAAATAAAAGGAAAATTATATATATTAGAGTTTTAAGTGATCGTACCGCCTCTTTGACGTAATATACTCCATTGAAACTCATATCTTGTTTCTCTACTTCGATGTCATATTCTTTGAAGAGATCGAGAAGAGTTGAATACAATGTTTTCATATAGGTAGGGAGTCGATCAATTTCACTTGTATCCCACCTGCAATGATTGGCAATGTTTTAACGTGAGTACCTTATTCCAATAATCATTATAGAATAGATGTTTAATCAAATATTTTCATGAGTCTTTAGATGTACATTAGAAATTATAAATGGAATATTGCATACCGGTCCATGGCTTCTGTGAACACTTCTAGTTCATCAAGAGTACCATAGGAATCATATGTGTCGTCAATTACTGAAATCATAGCTATGCATTTTGCAAGCATGATTCGAGCACGAGAATATTGAGGTTCAAAATACACCTCTACGGCCCAAAAAAAGCACTCCACCATTCTATCTCGAACATACGAAAGCTTAGACGCGAGATCCAAATCTTTCCACCATCTTCAAAATAAATTAATGAGAGTCATATTTAGTTAATTAACTCAAGTAATAAAATATATATGGTACTCAAATTAAATAAAATCATCTTACTGTGTGAGTTCACTAAGCTCTTCCTTGTGTAGCACTTGCAACAAATTATAATCTAGTTTGGCGAGCCTTAGTAACTTGTCATTTCTTGATTCAGATTCTCCATATATTGAAATGTTAAAATGGGCTTCAGCTCTTGGAATGCCTCTGTAGAGATTGCATGAGTGCATGTGTTACTTGTTTCTCAATAATAGAAGAGCTTAATTTGGGTGCTATTTTCTCCAAATGTTCTTTTGTGAAGATTAGAGCCTCTTCTAATATTTCATCTTCATGTTCCCTTACTTGAGCTGCTTCATACAGATTGAGCATACCCTTTACATCCTTAAGTAAAGTTTCCATGAATTTTCCATTGTTGTCTTTGAATTGGTTGAAATGATCTAAATTCACAAAATATCTTGTTATAACAAATTAACTAAAAACATTCATTTAAATTAAACAAAATTGTAATATATCTACACATAAAAATATATACCACAAGAGATTGGATAGCCGTGTTGCCTAAACAATCGAAAATATAGGGAAACACTGTATCGATCATGTTCTTCTTGGATGACATTTAGATTAAACAACTTGCTTATTTGATCTTCAATCTCCTCTTCAAAGTGATATGAAATACCAAGGCATTCAAGAGTATCAATCAAACATATTTTTTCTGTGGTGTCATTGTCAGTAGTACTGATTATCATGTGCTTGACTTCCTCTTTCAAAGTTTCAATCTCCTTTATATTTTTTTTCGAAGACCTGTAATAATGCGCTCTCTCTTAGTATCAAAATATATAATAAAAAAAGGTGAACGAGAAATAAAGAAGCATAGATATATATACCTGATTATTCAACGCAGAACAACTAAATATATTTCCCCAGAGGCTAGGTGAAAAATTTGTTGTTGGGCGAAAAACCCCATCTTGGTGATTTCCATTCAATGATGCAATTGTTGCCATTGCAAGAGACCTTACAAGATCTGAAAATCTGAATGTGAAATTTTCATTATTAGTTTCTGAGTTTGTGTTCCCATGAATGAAACCTTAATTTACTTTTTTCCTCAAACGAGTACAGTAAAGCCGTGACGGGCCGCCTGCCATGTAACATTTTCGTCATTTCTAATTTTTCGTGCAAAGTTTATGTGGATCCTACCAATTTAGAGACGAGTTTGGAATTCTAACTCAATAAATGCGAAAATCACTAACATGGGCAGATTTAGGGGAGGATGGGTATTTATCCGAACCCCCTTCGTCCAAAAATTACACTGTTTATATAAGGCAAAATTTGTTTTTTACTTTTATCTATTATGTTTTGAATCTCCTTGACACAATCAAAAGCATAGTTATGATCAACGGGGTTCAAAGTCTTTGTGAGGTCAATTCAAGTCCCATTGGTCACTTTCTCTTTCAATTTATTAAATTTTTCCTTGTTTGAACCCCTTAGCGGAAATCCTCCCCCTCCCCCCATCACTAATGCTTTTTCCAAAATTACTATGAATATGGGATGGATTCGAGATGAATGTATAACTAATATAAGTATGACACGTGGACAAAACAAATCCACCTATGTCAAGCACGAAGACGTAGTTGAATAAAAATCAGCATAACATATATAGAGTCAACATGACTTCAAGAACCTCTAACGTCGGGCCGCCCGCCACCGTTCAATCAAAGAGTGCTAATTAGTAGCTAGAAACATATCAAGTAAAAATCAATTTTATCTTCTTTGCCCAAAGCACGTATGTCTGCAGCGTTGTCAAATGGTAAAATTTTATTCGTATAGAGTATTTTACACCAAATTATATTATCTTACTATGATTAAAATAAATCAAGGTGACGATGTATAGTACACCTAATTAAGTGATAGACACGTGTCATATATCAATTAAGCTAGTATATATATCCAATGTAAGTAAGTCTTTGCTGTGATTGAATTGTATGGATAGCTCATCTATTTTTTTAAAAAATTCTTTAATACTACTTTTGAGTTTGTTTTTAAATATTTCAGCCTTAAAAAGCCATGAAATATACTTTTTTAAATTTTATCAACAAAATTAGAATGATCCAGCTTTTCAGTCTACTTTTCTTAGTTAGACCGTTGAAAGTCACAGACATTCGACAATAATAAAGAATCCCAACTCTGGAATACTAACAACTTGTTTGGATGGTTGTTATCCATTGTTTTGTATTGTATTGTTACTTTAAATATAATATTTGTTTTGATTGTTACTTAAATTTTATTGTATCGTTAAATCCATCGTTACATAAAGACGAAATATGTCACTTTATGTAACGACCAATTTGGTGTGGTCGCGTCGTTACCTTGTGTTTTTCTCTCTCTCACCCTTTATTATTATTAAATAATTTTATTTTAATCATTTACCCTACCTTTTTATATAGTAATTTTACCATGTATCATAATTTTCTTTATAATATTACAAGTTTATTCTTCATATTGCTGGTGCGTGATGTCATGAAACGATAGCAAACGACACAATCTATCCAAACATTGTTTTATCAAACAATACAGTACAGTACAATACAGTACAATACGTTACATTATAAAACGATACGTAACAACCATGCAAACAAATTGTAAAATAACACAGAGCAGGTATGTACAATTCTTTTCAGTGATTTTTAGGTTTTAGCACTTCATAGCTTTTTTTTTGGGATCTTTACATACATAAATCATGCATTATATATATACTAGATGGGATTGGCCCGGGCTTGCCCAGGCCCAACACTTTGGATTAGAGTGTGAGCAATTGAGAAAGTCAGATCATATCTATCAAAGACAATGTATAATAGCGTCACAAATTCATCAAACTCAACCATGTACTACTTATAGCTAAAGAGTGCCATTGGGAAAGAGTTCATTTATAAGTAAGTGACTTGTATGAACGGACTACACATTGCAAAGTTCAGCGATGTATAGTTCTAGCCTCAATCAATCCATTAAAGATACATAAAACAGCATGTTTGTAACATTAATGTCAAACAGACAAGATATACAACAACATTACATTTAGTTTCTACATTTCAATAAATAGACTGGTATGTATAACATGTAGAGGCCGCTCCAATATCCAAAAATAATACCAATTGCCTTCAAAAACATAGGCACATACTACTGATAACTATTTACGCAAAAATGTGAAACAGTTTGTTAAGGCGGCCAAATATCTAAACTTTGTTAAAGATCGGTATGATCTGCCAAAATGTTATCAAAATGTGTCTGTACATTCCATACCGTCTGAGCGAACATCACTGCTTCGACAATCTGTACAAATAAAATATTCATTTTAAGAACATTAGTAGATGGTAAAATATGGTATTTGAGTTTCTAACCTTGACTGTCGTCTATTACTTTTAGTAAACAATAAAATAAAGAGGTCTATTGGTTGGCTGTATTCCTTACCTGTCAACTCGCAAGCAAGCATTTGTTGTCTTTTGTCACTCAAGTTAGCTATCCATACCGTAACCGCTTTGGTAGGGTACTTGGTTCCCTTTTCTGTTTCTTAGTTGCTTTTGCATCAGTCACAAGTATTGGCTCTTCTTCCATAATTCTGTCGGCACCACTCACAGATGTTGAGTCTTCTGGTAGAAACATGGTTGGTTTTTCAGTGTATGACAAAAGAACCAGAGAACCTGCATTTTTGTCTGGTGTTCTGGATGATGACCATTGTAGCTGAACTCTGAATAGTTTATCAGCAAGTAGTTGATTGTTATGGGCAGCAGGGAATAACTCATTCTGCAAACAGATAGTAAAAATAATATATATCATATCAGAGTATTATATTAAGTTTGTTGACCTATGTTAACTGCGATGTTGTATGTGTATGTACCTTAACACCAGTGATATCAGATATCTGTTCAGCTGTCATTGATAATATTCTTTGGCCCAAGCCTTCAGACATTGTTGCTGTTATTGTGCCAGTTTCGTCTGTAATTTCTACCTCAAAGTGGCACCTATGATGTGGTATGTTGTAAATTATTTTAGTTGAGGTACAATAGATGACATACAATATCAAATATTGCCAATGGTATAATCTTATTAGTAGTAGTTGTTACCTTGGAATTAACATCCGTGACAGCCTGCAGTTTATGCATTGAATCTCCCTTTTTATTTTGCTCTGAACAAGATGGTTACATTCAGAACAACCTAGCAGGTAAAATCGTTGGAAATGCCCAGGTAGCGAAATTTCTCCTTCGACGTAAAAACTTTCCGCCTGCAAAGTGTTAACACGGAGAAATAATAGAAGGAAAACTTAGTGAGTAAGAGACAAAATGACTTATTTTTTTGTTCTTTTTATCCAGGTAAAAGCACGTGAAACAATGTGCATATTGAAATAAACTGCTTTTTGTCACATATAATTGTGGTCGTTCATAGGCAGTTGTAGGACAATTTTCAGATGTTCTTTAACTTTTTTCTACAGTAAAAAGTAAGGAAAAACTTAAAGGTAAATACTAATATGAATACTCAGTTAACCATCTGCTCCAACCTAAAATTCATTTGGTAAAGGATTTCCTATTCTTTAATCCAACCCCTATATATACTTCTCTTTTGCATCTTCTTTTCTTCACATACAAGTTTAAAGTATTGGTTATAAGTACACTTCTTACATAAAAAACAAACCAATAAAGCAATACTTTTAGTTTCTTGTCTTTTTTAACTCCATTTGTTTTCCAAGTTAGAAGCAATAAAATACCAAAGATGATGATGTCTATATTCAGTTCCTTTGATGCTCTCTCTACTGAAGTTTTTCGACAAAAGGTCACAGAGTTTATGCAGCAAGGCCACTTAAGATAAAATTGTATATAATTTCACAAATATTTGCAACCAAACACTTATCCAATTTGAACAATTTTTAGTCAGCAGAAATTCTGAAAATTAGGAAAAGAAGAAACCAAAACCTATCTTATAACTATAAGTGAAGCCTAAACAGCAAAGACATATAATTTCAAGGAATTTTTGGTCAGGTAAATTAACTGGGAATAAGAGCTCTGTAAGTTTAACCTAATAAGTTATAGCATGTTTTTTCACTATACTATCTAACACCATATTCTTCTAAACCTTTGTGAAGGGAAAAAAACTCTCAAACTATTTGAAAAGGAATTAACAAAATTAGTCTTTTGAGTTGGGAGGGGTAGATGGCATGTTATTTCAATATTCTAAAAACTTAAAAACTTTTGAATAAAGTAAAGATTTTCAAAAGCAAAAAATATTGAAACACTTTTAGAAACAAACGCCATCCAATCCTCTCAAAAATAATTTTTATATATGAATCCTTATAATAAAATTTATTGAACTGTTATCCATATTGTATAAAAGATACATTGTATGACAGTTTTTGGCATTTTATTTTGTAATTTAGTGAACTCACAGTGGAGGTTTGCGTAGCAATAGCTGAAACAGATAATATTTCATCGTCAATAGCTACAAGATTAAGCGATGAAGCTGACTCTGCTGGACTCTTCACTGTGTATTTAATTAGCATTTGTTTGTTCTCATTTATCCTGTAATTCGCACAGGAAATGTCAGACAATTATTTTTCCATAGAAGAAATAACAGTTAAATAATAATGTGGTGCATTTTAGGCACAGTTTGTATTGTACTAATTCTGTAATTCAGTTGCTTGCACATATAAGGGATTGATTAAGATTGTTGAGTTGTATCTTGTTGCGAAACGGGTAACTGCGTATGCAAATTTTTTTAATAACCAACGCTGAACCATAATCCATATGTAGGAACAGGAGCTGCGTGAACTTACCACCCTGTTATTTTGTGGTACCTATCCGCTTCGCGAGAATAATAGGATATTCTTGTAGTTGTCTCACTTGTTTCAGTAACTCAGCTCCTTCATTGCTTGCCATGTCTTCCCATATAGTGAAGAAGAGAGGTTTCTTCCTATACATGTTACTAATATAAGTGTTAGGTAGAGATTTTGTTATGTAATAGAAGATTAAATGACTCACATTTTGTCCATAACTATGCCTCTTGAAATTTCTTACTCTGATCAGCGGTGTATTGCATTGTCCCACAGTTTACCACCACAACTAATAAATCTGTTGTTATAAACAAAAAACAAATGTACGTAAAACCAATATACTTGCATTCAGCATGAGTTTCAAGCAATTAAGCTGTTATAAGGCATAAGGTAATTTGAAATATACCAAATTCAACATCGGAAGACTGTTGTGCAACGTCGGCGAATGAAATCGTAGTCAGTCTTGATGGAGGAGGTAACAGTGTCTCCTTTTCATTATTTTTTGGGATAAACTCCACAATAGTAAATCTATCAACGATCTACTCAAATTGGCCTATATGTAGTGAGTAAGGTTGTGGATTTCTAACCTTGGCAGTTGAAATCAGATATGTCTCAAAAAGTTCGAACAAGTTATCACATCTTCTAATATCGTCACCATAAAGTATCACGCAAACTTGTTCCTCCTACAATGTTATTAAGAATGATAACTAAGTAATTATTGGAAGAGTACAAGTGAAAAGAACTTATGTTACAATTATAGTTGTAACTTGACTTACGTTTACATCCTGCACAATTATTGTCTGAAAATGAACTCGCTGATCTTTACTGTCTCGCGGCCGAAATTTGTCTACAGCCTGGACTTTGCAAGTCCATTCTGTAGTTAGTGGTGTAATTTCACTAATACTAAGTCTTTGTTCCGTTTTATTAATATAACCTGCATATTGGTAACTGTAAAATTGCAAGAACAAACCATCCCACATTACAAATATGAGGCAGCAAATATGCGTAAAATACACTTGAATCTTTTTTGCAACAATTAGGAATTTCTAGTAAAAGTTGGATTTGGATTTTTTTAATCACTACATTTTTGAGTGTTGGAACTCCCTGTGTCAAGAAAGAATTGAAAACTTTGTTAAAGATATTCAAGAAATTTTGGTAATACGGAGAAAAGGCATATGTTAATACGATTGGCATGATAAGTGAAATTCATAGGCCAAAATACTTTGAAGTTAGGCAAATATACAAACTTAAATCACGGCTCCTTTCACTCTACTTTCCGATTCAATTCAAACACACATGAAAAAAAGAATGTCCATCAAGTTCTTCCCTATCGATTTGTTTATTTTATTTATTTTTGTCAAAATGGGATTTAAGAACGAACTCAAAGAACTGATTCGTTTATTTTATTGAAGTTAATTTTGCCGGCAGCTAAGCATATCATCCAGAGTCCTTAAAGTAATGCAGAGTTTTTTAGGATGATTCTGAGCTAGAATGCCTCGAATTATATCCCTTCTTGAACAGACGAAACGAAACTCTTGTATTCGAATACTTTCTCTGTCAACATTACAGTTCCTCCAATGAAATCTGACTTCTATTCCTTTAGGAAAAAGTAAAACTAAAAAGGCTTGAAGTGAAGAAGTTTCAAATTTTTCATGAAGTTCCTTTCCGCTGGATTATTACGTATAGTTGCTCGAAAGGTTTATTCAAACTTATGTATTCATGCAACTTATAAAGAGAAACAACATAAGCTATGCTTTTATTGGGTTTAGAAAAGTTATGTGGAAGTTTCCTTCTAGTGATGTGCTTGTGAAGTTAATATTAATTCACATCTTCCTCTGCTTCAGAATTGATATGCACATTGAATTTCGCCTGATTCTATAAGTTTCTTATATTATGCCATTTCAACATCGTTTATCTATTTCTTATCAGATTGAACACTAAATAGAACTGATTGAAGGATATGATATCAATCTGTGGGCATCTCATCCATCCTCATATATAAGGCACGGAAATATGAAATTAGACATGAATTTTGTAACCCATGAGAAGAAGAAGAAAAACAAAGAAGGTCACTGAAATTAAGAGGTACATATGTTACACAACTACCCCAAATTGTGAAACATCATAGTTGAACCTTATTTTGCTCAGTCAAAATCAAATTAACGCAGTCCACAAACGTCAAATCGATTCTTACTGCACTTTAAAAGGGTTGAAAAGTAGGATTAAACCCAGAAAAGCAAAACAGAGGCGCAACAATATATCATCAATTAAGTTAGAATTTTAGGCGAAAGCAAGCTTAATCTTCCATGAAAGATTCAAAACATCATAAGAATACTATCTTAACTCTAAATAAAATTCATAGTCAGAAAAGGTTATCTTCAATAACTGTAATTTCTAGGGGAATTATAAAACAACTTAAGTCGATTTTAGAATTCCTAACAAGGGATCCGCCACAAGAACTTTTTCATACACTACTATACTTCAGAGGATTCTAATAACAAATCTCACTCCTTTTACCCTTCGCTAAGGAGATTCGATGGTGAAGATCCTCTCCCAAATGAGGTCTATTAAACCAACAAGTTTGTCACTTTTTTTGTCTTCTATAAAATCTTAATTGCAAAATAAACAAATTAATAAAAACAGAGAAAAAATCAGAACCCAACCTTAGTTTGTTTTTACCTTTACGGAAGAAAAGGCTAATCAAGCAAAAACCCCGAATATCTTTTTGCAGAAGATCTAAAGTTTTGAATAGAGGAATACACTATAAAGCTGAAAGAGGAATTTATGAAAAGGGTAAAGAAAAGCACGAAGGAAAACTTGGATATAAACAAAAACAGACCAAAGAATAAAAAATTTGGAAGCGGTGCTTTCTACCTGGCAGATTATGGTGTCAAGAGAACAAGAAATGACAAAAATACCCTTATGATGAAGCATACATGTTGACCATAAGATGCCTGCTTATATCCCTTTTGGCCAAACTGCAAAAATCAGCTTATTTTGAGAAGTGCTTTTCTCAAAAGTACTTTGGTGAGAAACAGTTTGTGTTTAGCTAATTAGTTTGAAAAACACTTCTGAGCAACAATTAGTGTTTGACCAAGCTTTAAAAAACTGCTTCTAAGTGTATTTTTCTCAAAAGTGCTTCTCAAAAAAGTGCTTTTGAAGAGAAGCTACTTTTTTCTGCTTCTCCAAAATTGCATATGCTTCTCCTCAAAAGCACTTTTTTTTCCTTCCGGAAGCTTGGCCAAACACCTCAAATTGAGGCCAAAAGTGCTTTTGGCCAAAAAAATACTTTTGGCCAAAAATAAGCTTGGCCAAACAGGCTATTATTCTCTCTTATAGCATAGTAGTATATATATATATATACACTCACACTAATTCAGAGGCGTACTCAAGATTTTAAGAGGATAGGGGCACCACTAAGTGCCAATACTAGCTACAAAGTTGTTAGCACTAAACTTATTATGTTTTTAAGATTATGGGTTCAAATTTAATAAGTATTTATTAAAATTTTAGTGAGTCTTAAATGGAATTATTCTATGTTGGGCTAGATCCGCTAATGTTCGTGTCAATCATCTGTAATGAAAAATTAAAGGAGTGAGAATGAAATAAAAGGAACCAACTCTAAATTAAACGTTTTGGCGATGAGCTTCAAAGAGAACCAACATGACTATATGAAAGTATCATTTTTTGTTTGTTTTACTTTTAGCAAGACCAAAAAATTTCCCATATTAATTCTTGAGAGTTAAGCCAGTGAGTTAGTGACTAGGGTAACTGGGCAATAGTTTCTGTTTTTAATTGTGGAAAGAGAACTGGGCTCGAAGATTTTGAGGGGTAGGACTTGTTTAAAAGAAAAATGAAAAATGGATGTACAATGTAAAAAATTAAATTAGTCGTTGCAGTAGAGATCCCAACTTAGTTCCTGTGACGACCCAAATGGGTCATCACCTGTTTTCTTACCCATTCCGTACTTCCGAGGCCTTGAAAACCTTATTTTTAGTCGCCTCGATTTCTGTGCACAGTCTAGGCGTGTAGTTGGAAAGCTTAAATATGAAATTCTGTGAAAAATGCTAAGTTTTGAGTTTAAAATGAATAAATTTGACTTCGGTCAATATTTTGGGTAAACGGACCCGGACCCGTGATTTGACGGTCCCAGAGGGTCCGTAGGAAAATATGGGACTCGGGCGTATGCCCGGAATCGAATTCCGAGATCCCAAGCCCGAGAAATGAATTTTTGAGTAAAATTATTTTTCTGAAATTGTCAAGGAAAATTGATTAGAACGTGTTGGTATTGGGCCGTATTTTGGTTCCGGCGCCCGGTACAGGTCTTATATGTGATTTAAGAGGTTTATGTAAAGTTTGGTTAAAATCGAACGTCGTTTGACGTGTCTCAGACTTGAAATCTTAAATCTGAACTTGATGAAGTTTTGGAAAAACTCTTGATTTTGAGATTTGATTCATTGTTTTTGCGGTTAGTTTGGCGATTTGATCGTACGGATAAGTTCGTATGATGTTGATTGAGTTAATGCATTTATTTGGTTAGGAGCCCCGAGGGCTCGGAGTGCTTGGGAGGTGTTTCAGAATGGTTTTAGCCTTGTAAAAGTTGCAGGTTCAGGAAGTTGCAGGTCTCTGAACCCTTTGGTGCGGTCCGCGAGAAATCGCGTGCGACCGCGGTCGCCTTTGTGCGGTCCGCACAGGGTGCTGAACTGCAGGTCTTCAGGGAGGCCTGTGCGGCCGCAGTCCATTTAATGCGGTCCGCGGTGAAGCTCCACAGTCGCGGTCCTTTTTATGCAGTCCGCGGTGAGGGTCTGAGAGGGGTATAAATAGACGGGATTTTCAGTTATTATCCACTTTTCAAAACCCCAAAAAACATAAAAGGCGATTTTTCAAACAACATTTCTTCTCCAAATCAATTGTAAGTGATTTTTAACTAGTTTTCTTCAATCACTAACATCTTTTAACATGGTTTCAACTTAAAATCAAAGATTTTCATGGGGGAAATTGGGTGTTTTGGGTAGAACCTAGGTTTTTTCCAAAATTGGGATTTGGACCTCAATTTGAGGTCTGATTTCAAAACAAATTATACATTTGGATTCGTGGGAAATGGGTAATCGGATTTTGGTCCGAACCTCGGGTTTCGACCACGTGGGCCCGGAGGTGATTTTTGACTTTTATGTAAAACTTTGGGAAAACTCATTTTCATGCATTGGGGTTGATTCATTTAGCACTTACTGATGTAATTAAGTAACTTGTGACTAGATTCGAGCGGATTGGTGGTGGAATCAAGGGGGTAAAGCTATAATTGAGTCTTGAGCGGTGTTCAAAGCTTTGAGGTAAGTGTTTGGTCTAACCTTAGCTTGTGCGATTAAGAGTTGAGTCTTATTTGCTACGTGCTAATTGTCGAGTACGATGTATAGACATGGTGACAAGTATCTATACGTTGGTGTCTAGCATGACCGTGAGTCTTTATATTATAGATATTCAGATCTTGTTGTATCTTTCATGCCTAAATGATGATTTCTATATGTTGTAGAAAGCATGTGAAAGAAATTGTGATCTTTGAACTTCGAGAAACATTGGCTCGAGTAGTAATACGAATTGTGAAAGTATATGAGATAAATGAAACCCTTTAGAGCATTGGTTCAAGTGGTAAAGTGAGTTATAAAGTAAGAAGTGAAAGAAAGAGAAAAAGTTATTAAATTGCTCCCTTGCCGGGATGCTTGTTGCTTTGTTGATTTTCTCCCTTGCTGGGATATTGAAATTTCTTGATATTGTTCTCTTGCCGGGACTTAGCTGTTTAATTGTATTCCCTTAGCGGGATTTATATTATTATTATTTGTTTAATCCCTTGCCCCTTGTTTGTGATTGTTGTTTGGGTGAGGAAGAGCGATAAAGCACGAAGGGTGATGCCGTGCATTGTTTGCTATTGTGAGGAAAGAGTGTAAAGCACGAAGGGTGATGCTGTGCCGCACGATGTACCATTCCGTGCCGATTTTATTGATTATATGGTGAGGAAAGAGATAAACACGGAAGGTGATGTCGTGCATTTGTTGATTTCTGATTTCCTTATTGATATCCGAGTTATGTTGTTTCTTTCATTACCTGTTGTTATTTGATTACTTCGAGGTATTAGATTTCCTTACCCTATTTGCCTTGTGATTGTTGTTTGGGTGAGGAAGAGCATAAAGCACGAATGGTGATGTCGTGTATTGTTTTGGTGAGAACGAGAGTAAAAGCACGAAGAGTGATGCTGTGCTAATTGTTGGTTTCTGCTTCCTTGTTGATATTCTAGTTATGTTGTTTCCTTCCTTACTTGATGCCTTTCTATTCGGAACTATATTCACCCCCACAGCATGTTTCCCCTACCCGCATTGACTGGTTATTCCTGTATCTTTTCCCGCGGAATATATATATATATGTATATATATATGAACTGCACAGGTTTATTTGGAGTCTGGTTCTAGTCTCGTCACTATTTCGCCAAGGTTAGGCTGGACACTTACCAGCACATGGGGTCGGTTGTGCTGATACTACACTATGTGCTCTTTTGCACAGATTCAGGTCTTGGATAGCAGCAGTAGCGCGGGAGCCAGCCTTCAGTCCAGTGAGACACCGAGGTAGCCTTGCAAGCGTCCGCAGGCTCGGCGTCTCCTCTATCTTTTATTTCAGTCTGTTATCTCATGTTTCCGAGACAAACAGTTTATATTCTTCTTTCAAACGGTTGTATTTATTACTCTTAGAAGTTCGTGAGTAATGTGACACCAGTTCTTGGGTAAAAGCATATGTTGATTTCCGCATTATTGTTCAAGTTCCTTTAATTTACGTCTTTCGCATATTTATTTAATTCTGTTGTTTTCACGATATTACTAATAATTGTCAAAAGAAGTAATTTGTTAATTAAGTAGCAGTTAAAAATTACCTTGCCTAGCTCACATTAATAGGTGCCATCATGACTCCCGAGGGTGGGAAATCCGGGTCGTGACAAGTTGGTATCAGAGCTCTAGGTTGCATAGGTCTCACAACTCACGGACAAGCTCAGTAGAGTCTGAGGGATCAGTATGGAGACGTCTGTACTTATCCCTCAGAGGCTATAGAGTTAGGAAAATTTCACACTTGTTCTTTCTTGTCATGCAGATTTGTTCCTCAAATGCTAATTGGATTTCTACTCTATTCTATCGTGGATGGCGAGAACACGCGCTTCCTCATCTACCGCTCAGCAACCCGAGCCCCCAGCAGCAGCTCCCATCAGGGGAAGAGGGCGAGGCCGAGCTAGAGCCCGAGGTAGGGGTAGAGCTCAGCCCCGAGAAACAGTACCAGTGGCAGAGCCTCAAGTTGATTTTGAGGAAGAGATTCCGGCCCTAGCAGTTCCGGTGGGCCCAGATCAGGTCCTAGAGGGGTTTATTGCCACCCCAGTTCTTCAGGATGCTCTGGTCTGATTGGTAGGCCTCATGGAGATTGTCACCCGAGCAGGTTTGCTTCCAGTAGTACCAGCCACTTCTCAGGATGGAGGAGGGACTCAGACTCCTGCTATATGCACCCCAGAGCAGGTAGCTCCCCAGGTTCAGGTTCCAGCGGTTCAACCAGCTGTGGCAGTTCAGCCGGGTGTAGTAGCTCAGACCGGTGATGGAGCAGCTATGTATGTCGATGCTTTGTGGAGGTTGGATAGGTTCACCAAGCTCTTCACTTCTACATTCAGCGGTGCATCTACTGAGAATATCTGGATAGTTGTCACGAGGTTCTTCGGAACGTAGGGATCGTTGAGACCAATGGAGTTGATTTTGCCGCCTTTCACCTATCTGGATCCACCAAGACTTGGTGTAGAGA